GATCTTTAGTGAAACTTGGTTATTCAAAACCATGTCAGTCAAACGACTAGCCCCTCCAAACTTTACACTACAGTGCACCAAATTAGGAAGGAAGACATCAAAACCTCTTGTTAATAATTCTGGTGTTCTTCAAGGCGCTGTTCTATCTCCATTTCTTTTTTCTACCTTTATTAATGATCTTTCTGTCCCACCTCCTGCGCACATCCAAAAGTATGCTGATGACATCGTTTCGTCTCAGACAATTTCTGTTCACTCGGACTTTCATTCTCTTACTGAAAACCTATCTCACATTCAACAGTGATCTGACCAATGTGGTCTCAGTCCTAATAGATATAAGTGCGTAGAGTGTATTTTCAGTCTTTCCCGCTCCTCATTTCCAACGGACTCTTCTATTCTTAGCGATAAACGTGTACCTAGAACGACCTCAGTGAAGTATCTGGGTGTCACCGTCGACAGCAATCTTCGTTGGTCTGCACATATTTACTACTGTATGGGAAATCTGAGACGCCTATCTTTTCAGNTGTCATCTTTCGTTCATCAATGCGTTTTACCCATTCTACTTTATTGCTCTCCTGTAGTGTTTCCCGGTCTTTTAAAACACAACTTCAAAACAATTCGCCGTAGTTTGTTGATAATCAGTCGTGCATCACTAATCCCAATTGATTTATTAATTACAGATCTCATTGATGGTCACATCAACTCTTGTTTTAAATTTGCTCACAAGATTCTAGATGACCCTTTTCATCCACTTTACCCTGATCTATCGTCTTGTCCTCATTTCGACAGCTACCCGCTCGCGTTAACATTTATAAAAATTCCCCTGTGCCCTACCTGGCCCGACTACTTACCAAAAAGGAACAGGTTTCAAATGAACTAAGTCAAGTGCTTCGTACATGAAACCTATATCGCCGACATTCTTTACCTTTTGTTTTTATTATGTTTATTTCGTTCTGCGTGACGAACAGTAGATTTTTAATCGAAATGTAAGCTTATATGCTTACGCACTTTACAAATACAGTACAATATAACTGATCAGCAAACAGTTTCGATGAGCAAATTTTCACGAGCTCAACTATAGGAAGCAAATCAAAAGTGAAGATAGATTTTCATTTACGTGTTGCACGAATGTAGCGATTGGCCAACGACTACTCCAAACGAATCACCCAGTGAACGCAAACCAAGCGTTCAAAACCCCCTGTTTTATCGTTTTCCCACCCTTTGTTATTCAAATCGGTACAGGTTTGCGTCTGTGCATGCCCGAAACAAATGGGTTAGTATTGTGATGGAAGGCGGATGGGGTCGTTCACTGTTCTGGAGAGGAAGAACAGTTTTCGGATCAATCAGGGTCCTCAAGGAAGACAGGTAAGTGGTACAGTATTGGAACGGTGGTACACCCGCGACAATCATTTTGGAGGAGGAGCGAGTGTAATGGAAGGCGGTACAAAGAGAGTCCTGGCTACCGACCGAATCAAGAATGGGGATCATCCAACCAGACGCAGCGGCGGGAAGTGCCTCGCGAGACAATGTTGACTACCACGCTAAACAAGCGAATCGACAATTACAGCCCGACAGACCATCCGCAGCTAACAGAAAAGATAGCCACCGAATGCCACAACGTCGGAGCTGTCGATCAACGCATCTCGCGCCGCGATCGGGTCAAACCAGTCGGAATGGCACACGGAAGAAGAGACAACGTACGTGCCAAGTGCGGGTGAAAACCAACAAGGAATAACCCACAGAAAGAGGCATGAATCATCTTGCCGCGCGGTTGAGAATTGATCTTTAACGTGGAATCCACCAAGTTGACTGCCAAACAGAATTTGCAAGTTTCCTCTAATACACCGCACACCCTTACCACTGGCGATCAATGGCAAGATAGCTAACTTATCCGTGATTCAGATAGAAGGAAGTGTTTTCGATTAAATTAAAATCCCAGCTGCTGCGCAGTAATAGAACGAATTTGACATTGAACTTGATCCCTCTAGAAACTGCATAAACGTGAAAA